TGAACTCCATTTCCCATTAGTCTCAGACAGAAATTCCAGTGGTGAGGTGTGATGAAGCAGAACTTGGAAATACTACTTTTTAAAATAAATACTATAGCCACAGTTGGGGATTCTGGGAGTTGTTGTCCCCCTAAACCCTTTTTGAAGCTCACAAACAGAACAGAAATTAAACTTCTGTCACCTCTAAAGACATCTAAATTTTCTAAGCTCTGAATGACTGTAACCATTCATCCATATCTGGAATGTATCTACATTACAGAGTTACAGTAGTTTGATATCACTTCAAATGTGATGATTCCATCCTATGGAAACTTAGGGACTGTAGCTCCACTTTATGAACTACCACACTGGAATTATCCCATAGAAATTTCTACCTACCTCACCAAACAACATATCCCAGGATTCTGCAGGACAAAGCGATGGCAGTTAAAGTGGAATTGAACCACTTTAATGCTGTAGTGTAGATTCCCTCATAGAGTGCCAGAGTTTCCCCAGCCTGCATTTAAAGCCTCCTGTGGTGCCTTGGAATGAAGCTGAAGCCTGCTTACTCAAATCCAATTTATTTGTCAATTTAGGAAACAACGCCCCCACCCCACCCCCCAGTCTCACCCAGCCAAGAGTAGGCTATTGCCTGTTTGGCTTGCAAATCCATTTAGGGACACTTCCGACAATCATCTGGATTTATTATTGCTGGACTGTGATCACATAAGCTCTGCCTGCCTAGGATTCATGATGCTGCCAGAAGGGGCAGAGCACCCTGTCTCCAGACTGAAATGGTGAGAAAATGGAAAATTTTTCAGTCTGCTCTTCCACTGCTGTGACAGGTCTCTGTTTGCCCAGGTTTTCCCCAGAGCTTTGAAAATGGTGTCATCATACTCCAGAAAGGATACTCCCTCCCTGCATGCCAACAAGACCCAATTTAATGGGACAAACTGGAATGAGCCAATGCATGGGCATAGAGCTGGGTGGTGGGCATGGGAGATTTCCTGGCAACAGAGCAAAACTCTGGGGACCAAAGCCATGGCAAGCTAGTGATTTGTTGCTGAATGCTGCTTAATCTATTGCTTGTTGCCTGCGTTCCTTGCCGTCTCCCTGGCATTTGCAGCTTGTAGCAATTAAGTCAGCAGTAGAAAGTGAGCCTTGAAGCCCATTAATTACCCTGATGGGGAAGAGATTGAACACCCAGCCCATAGGCCCTGATTACACCAGCAGTGTATGATGAAGCCCCCAGGATTGTGTGCTTGCTGGGAAGAGAGAGACTGAGAGAGAGAGAGAATGGGCTGAAAAAGGTTCATTCACCCACAGTTATAGTCCATCTGACTATTCAGCACAGCAGGCTAGTGTGGCTACAAGGAGTAGCCATGGGGGGGGGGGGGATCATGAAACAGGGATGAGTGGATGAAGAAATGAAATAGGGGCAACTTTTTGTCCTTGAAACTGCTCTGGTTCTTTTAACTGTTTTGGTTCAAATCATTTTTAAGGAGTATTTTTAGTTTGTTTTTAAAAAGTTTTCATCTATGCTTTAAATGGTTTTCTCAATTGTGCATAACCTTGGAGGCTGTGGTAGGCTGAGAGGCAATACATAAATGCTATCAAACAACCCGTCTAAAGCTATACCACTGGGAGAGCAAACAGAACACCATCAAGTATTTTCCTCCCTCTCCCTGAGAGTGGGCCTCTTTTGACTTTGGGGGACTATACCACCCACATTGACTAAGTGGATACTGAAAGTTAAATTTCCCCCAAACTACATAATTCTGGTCATGCACAGTTTTCCCCTTGGTAGGTGTTCCAGAAACAGCAACATATTCTGTTTTCCCCCACAGATATCATCTTGTTCTCAATTTAATTCGTACCAGATTCTTCAGTTCTGTTTTACAGGCTGATGAACCTGTTGCCACACTTGTCTGTCATGCAGGGGCCCTGCAAACACAAAAGGGTTGTCAACAGATCCCACTGTGATCTTCTCAGAACC